TAAAGCCACAGAAACATAAATTTATATGATGTTTCAGAGCAAAGTCAAGGTTTTGGCCACTTGAGTATGCTGAAAACACTGTGGGATTAAATTATTTTACAAGCAACCAGACTTCTCTTTCCTGTGCACAAACTTTGATCTCTACCCCTAAACTTATTCCCTTGAGTTAGGGAATGAAATTAAATTTATGACGGGTGTCCTCTTTAGCCAAACTGCAAAGCTGGATGTAGTATCCAAATGTTCAGGATTAATCGAGTCAAACAACAATAATTTAATATTTTGTCTATCTAATTTATATTGTAGTAAATTAAAAAAGTTATGTTTCATGATTGAAATAATGCAGCTTGTTCATTTTCATTAAATTTTAATTATATAGCTCCTGTTCAAAAAAGTATGGGTCTTGAGGTATTTAGCTTAACCCCACGATCAGACAACACACAACTTACTTAGGCAAGGCAAGGCAAGTTTATTTGTATAGCACAATTCAACAACAAGTTGCTAACTTGTTGCTAGTTAGCCTAGCGGTTAGCACCTTTCCAGGCTATTGAGGCTGTTCGGTGCCCAGACGCTGTAATCAGGCTTCAGCTGTGTCTAGGCCACAGACACACGGAGCGCTGAGGATAAGGTAACTGTAAAAATGTTGCTGTTTCTGTTAAGAACACTTTAGTCCTAATGATCTATAAGTGTCCAGAAGCTATCGCAGGTAAGCTCATACGGAAAAAAGGGAAAAATCAGCGTAAAAATCAATAAAAGAAGCAAAGCATTTAAAGAGCAAAGAGATGAAGCGTCCACACTCACAAAAGGGGGAGGAGCAAATTACTTAGAGCAAGCTCTGAGTGAAGGTGGGGAAAAAGAACTTCCTTTTAACAGGAAGAGACCTCCAGCAGGACCGAGCTCAGGGAGGGGTAGTGCTCTATCATGGCCAGTGCTACTTTGAGGCAAAAGAGGAGTTTCAACCTTTTTTGTTCCATACAGTCATTTAGGAAACATTGGTAGTTCTTGTAACTTCTTTATTTCAACATATGATATGTAGCATCTTTCTCTGCAGAACAATAGAATGACAATGTTGAGGAACCAGCTCCTTCTTCTTTAGCTGCTCTGCTCTTAAAAATGGCTTCAACACCATTTTTGATGGAATGTCCAGTTTGTCCATTCGAAACTGCTTTGCACAGTCCTCCCCAATGAAACAGTATTTACAGTACACAGTGGTCAGTATGCTCGTTAAAAGCTACATTGCATAGGGAATTAAGGAAAGCAGTAACAAAAAAAAGTGTATAAATAGCTGTTCAATTCAGCACATTAGAAAATAAAAATAAGACCTTTGATTGTTGTCAAAATGTGTAGGTCCGTTTGTGTTTCCCAGTCCTCTGTGCAGGAGTTAACTTGAGGTATCAGGGGCTAGTAGAAGTAAATATAAGGAGCTCCACGCTGCAGTGTTAGCTTCAGGGCTGAGGTACAATTCAGCTGTGAGACAGGTCGCTACAGGTCTTTGTGGTTGATTGACAGCCTACAGCTTAGGGTCATCGTCCTTCAAACTAGCGCCGTCTGTGAACGCCTCATCTCCTTCCGCAGCTCATCTCGGCTGAGCAGATACTGGGGGCAGAGCATCGTGGGAGTGGCAATGGGTTAGAGAGATTAGAAGTTAGTGTTTGCTTCTGAGCTGGGGTCAGTATACATTACTGAAATGAGAACATCAGATCCGATGTGAGATTGTTTTATGACATGTCACAAAGGAGAAGCACAGGTGGAATTTATAAAGTGAAGATGCTCAACATGAAGATGAATCTAACCCAGTTCTGTAGGAAATCCTCAGACATGGCTACCTTGAATGTGTGACACTAACTCACCTTAGCAAATATGAACATTATTAATGTTTGTAAAAAGACTGTGCTTTTCATTCTATGACATCTTAAAAGGTCTGCTGTGAAAAAAA